TGGAGGCTATAAAGGAAATTGTATACCAAACCCCTTTTATCTCTGTTTATGCAGTTCACTAATTGCTGGACATCCGTGTTCTGCAGGAGAAAAGTTGTGTCTTCAGCCATGTGACCTGTGGCATCTCTCAGAGTCTCTCCTCTGGGATCCATTGAATCCTCTCTGGTTTTGTTGGCTGTAGGTTTGGATGGAGAGTCCCTCCCTGGTCAAGGGTCCACTTAGCTTGTGCTGGTGTTTTCCAACTTGTCGCCATTCTCAGGGCTCTGCTTTTTCAAGATGCCTCTGGCCACACTTGCACTTCTTGATGATCAACACGTTATTTGTGTAGCTTGGAGATCAGTTTCCTCAAGCACACAAAACTGACTGGAGTTCATTCTGCTGTCTGGAGCAAGAGAGTGCTCGTATTTTCTGAAACAAGTGATTGGTGGAAGCTCACAGGTTTATTCTAAGCAGGCCTGGCTTGGGAGAGCTGCTGCACCGTTTCCTTTGAATGTGGAACTTGTGTGGTCAGACACACGCAAGGCTGCAGTGGTGTATTGGTGAGGGAGAACAATTTGAGACTGCCTTATGTTTTTCTTCTCTCTCTCTCCCTTTATTTGGCTTTCATTTCCATTCCTGAGTGGGTCTAGAGAAACACAGAAATAGGAAATGACCAGTAATTTCCCTATATCATCAGTTTAGCCAGGCCTCAAGAAGTTTTATTATGTTGAAACAGAATTTACTGAGTTTTTGTGCTAAAAAATATCTTTCAACAGCCTTCCTTGCTCTTTATTTAATTTTTTCTGCCTGATGGTATCACATGGTTGTTTTTTAAGTTTCAGTATAATTAATAGTTTCAGCTATTCAAGCGTACTCACATATGTTTAGTTTACATCCCTTGCAAGTGTATGGCACACATTTTTTCCCATCTATACTAGCCATAGATCTTTTTTTCAAGTATAGGCAATCATAAAGCAATTAATTTTTTTTCTGTATATTTAGTTTTGCTGCTGAATACTAGGACACGCAATTGGTAAGCCCTTGCCGGATGGAAATAAGATGAAATGACTCGTTTATTTCCCATGACAGCGTAAGGGCATTTGTTCACTGCGGGGACAGACTTGATAGAAATTGGAGATAAAAGCTCAGGTTCAGGTAGACTAAGATTCAACTAAATCTCTGCTTTCTCCACACTATAAGTCAGTGTACTACTTTAGTTTTCATCCTCATGATATTCTTGCCTTGACAGTTTTTACTATTAATTCTATATTAAAATTATTCACTGCTTATTTGATAAAAGAAAGGAGTCTAATATGAACTGAACATCTAATCTTGAGTGAAACCCTTTAACAGCTCCAGTACCACTAAATAAAATCTTCTGGATTTCTAAAAGTTTGTCTTGATGACTTTTAATGTCAGTCAGTATCTAAATTAATGAACAGGTGTAGAATGGTAGTTTTGAAGAGCCATATGTGCTTATTTTTTTGCTGCAGAAGTACCAAAGTTCTCGTGGTAGAGTTTTGTTCTTAATTGTATCTCTGAAGTATTTCAATATGTTTGTGTGGGTTCTTTGCCGTGATTATGTATCGTTAGACTTGTTTAACGTATTTTAAACTTGCATAACATTTTGTTTAGTGTTGTCATTTTGCTTCAGACCTTAAATGGGATTCAAGCAGTGCACTTTCTGTGGGATTAAATGAGTTCCCAGCTGAAGGTATCACTAAAGGTACACACTTGGGCCGCACGTGTGTTGCCTAAGACGAACAGAAAACAATCCCTTGCAGCATGTTGCATCAGCTTTTTTCCCTCAACGCTGGTAAACAAGTACGTTGTTACTAACAAAATAGAACTCTAATCTAAATAAATTAAAAAAAAAGTGGGTTATGTAATGTGGATTTTTAGATCTGTATTTTCTGGTCTTCGTGTATGCTGAAACTACCTTTTTCCCTTCTGCTCTATCGTACTGGTCTTAACCTTTCCCTCTCCATTCTGCTTGAGGTAAATGGTAAAGAAAAGTGACCCAAATCAAATTCTACAGGTGTAACAGGTGTGAGATAATTACGCATCGGTGGGTATTTTGTCATTTCAGTGAGTGTTAATTGTTCCCTTTTTTTTTTTTTTAAATGCTTGCTTCTTTCTTACTTCTTCCTAACTGAATGAGGAAATAGCTTGTTTAACAACCAGGAATATAATTTCCTCCATTTCATCAAAACAAATAATCCCCACATGTAGGTGTGCCTGTTGGTGTGTATATATCTGGCTGTGCATATATATATCTGTATTCCAGATAAATCCAAATGTTACTCTACATAAATTGGTGTGAAAAGGCATTAACTTTTAAGAAGAAAAACAGATATGCAGGGTAGGGGATTTGAAAATGCTTTGCATTACCATGACACAAGTGGGAGGCCCCTTCTGAGCTCTGAGGCATCAAACCAAAAACCGTGTCTCATCTTTAAACAGACGCTTGTGAAGGGAGTACCTTAATGGGTTCTCAGGTTCGTCAGCAATAGTATGTTGGCTCTGAAATATAGCAAATGGCTTTTTAATTATTTGAAAACCCCCCTGTAAACGCATGTAGTGTCACAGGTGAGTCACTGCTGAAATGCTCTGCTGTTGTGGTACCACTGCGTGATCAGAG